TAGCAAAATTGTGCAAGTCAATATAGTTTTGAATCTTTTTGATTTGAAATCATTTCGAATGTTTTTCATGCAGATAACACAAGCTTAATCAGAATGCACAAACACGAAGCAACACTTAGTAAGTACTATTCAATAATAAAATTACAGATTACACAAAATTCGAATGAAAATTGTATAAAATACGATATCAGAATCAATGTTTCTCGGTCAGAAGACTGAACTCCTTGGATTGCTCATACAAAGCGGTAACGAATAATCCGTACTCGCATGATGATTTGTTGAACACTCATCGCTATTTTTGCACGAGGCAATAACAATACCTTTTTTGTAACCGAACTCAAGCTAAATATCTATATTTGTTTGAAATAGAAGCTACTCTTATCTTTTACTAGACTAACCTACTGAATTTTACTACCCTAATTTTTAGCAACAAGCACGAAATAGTGAGAAACAGTATAATGAAATAGTATAAAACACATACTTCTAATGTGGTTTCAATTTTTGCCATGTGACCAATCACAACGGGTTTTTAGTTACTGTTGAACAATTTTAGTTTTGAGGCGCACAGCAAAAAGTCGCCACTCTACAAGTTTTGCGAAAAGTTGTCTGAAAATTTGTCATAAAAACTGGGCAGCTGAGTTGCTTTGGTTTTTTGTCCTACATTCATATTTTGTTTATATTATCTTATATTATATATTTTAATATATATATATTAAAAAGCCTACATTTTTTGCCCATCCCTTTCAGCAAGTTAGATGCCAAATGATTGCTGATTTAAATGCATAACATTCAATTTTAGATTGCAAAATTAGGTGGGTGCAATTCGTTAAAGAAACTACTGAACACTATTAATTCTGCTGGTAGACGTGAGGCCGCGCGTGGGATTTTTATATCAGTCAGACACTTAGCATGCATGTGAATCGAGAGGATATTACACATATCCTTCATAGATTTAGATTTAGATTTTGCATTTTTATATGCATTTATTAAGTATTATCCTCCACTTGAATTATGAATACAGAATACATCAAATTATGATGTATTCTGTTCCGGAAGGTATTGAGAACGAAATAATAAAAAAAGTTCTGCATTATAAGTTTTTCACAATCTGCCTATTATTGTCATTGGCTCAGCAAAGGGGTTTTTTCTTAACCAACTGCGACCGGTTAATACTGTTTATAAATGATCGACAAATATTTTTTAAGAGAATGACTATTTAAGAACTCTCCCAAACAGTTTTAGTTAAAGGTTCTTCGTTTAAAGATACAACTAATTTTTCTTGACAGATACAAATGATGAAAAGATGAGCTTCGGTCCCGGATCTACTTAGTATTCCTACCTAATTCCTCTGAAGAGTTAGGCTAGGGATGACCCTGCACAGGGACCACGGAGATGAAAGTGCGCTTCCCAAACATATTTAAACTCGGTAAACCACGTCAGAGGGTCGTATCATCAAAGCGCTTGCGCTTGGTTTTAGCGCATACACTTTAATTTGTAAGTTAGAGGGTGCCGCCTCTCTTTGCAAAAAAAACGCGTGTTTTAGTTTCCTTAATTTACATCTGAGTAAAACTTGAGGAATCCACTTAAAGCTTTGCAATGTTTTTAACCAAGCAAGCGCTGTGTTCTGTAAGAGTGCGAATAGCAGTGCTCCAAAAATTGTGAAAGGCCAGTGAAAAATAGCTATTCGAATTTTCTCCTAGCTAATAGATGACGCTTTAAAAATCGTCTCTACTCGGATGGCTGTGACAGTGAGAGCGTGCGATGTTGTAACATTAATGAGCGAGATTTCCCGTAGTGGTGTAGACTCAGCATTTCGTTGCTAATTCAGAAAAACGGACGTTAGAGTTAGAACATAAATCGACAGAGTTAGAAAAGGTTAGGTCAAGTTCGGTTAAGACCCTTTATATATAAATATTAAGAAAAACTTGGTTGACTGACCAAACCTCGGATTCCTATAGCATAGACATGCTGATTCTACAGAGACGGCTAACTGGCTGCCGATTCAATACAATCGGCAGTTCCGCGATTTCGGCATGACACATAAATTTACGCAGGAGTTAGTTCGTGAGGGTTCCCTGGTAAATCAAAACAGCGGTTTTTCATTGAATAAAATAATTAATAGACTATTGCGTATATCTTAAATAATTTCATTTAATAAGCATTCTATATCTGCTTGCATTAAAAATTATTCTGTTCTTGTTCATAATACTTGACAGGGTTTTGTCTGGAATCGTAGCGCGCTGCCGTATATATTTTTCTACTCTTTCACTTTTTTGAAGTTTAGATAAGAAAAAAAAATGTATACACAGAAGAAAACTTAAAATCACGTAGGAACATGCACGCAGAAATATTCCCAATTTTCCCAGCAATAAATGGACACAAGTGGCTGTCCTCGTCTCTCATTTCAAGAAAACAGTCATTCGGCGCCTGTCCGAGCAGCTGAGGCTGCTGAGGCGCTCCAATTTCTTAATTCTGAAGAGTAGATCTGGAGAAGCCCGAGGCGTGCCCAGAGACGTCATATAGATGGCTGGCGCGTTCTTAATTTCATATTCTTAAGAGCAATAGGACGAGCTAAAGCCCTTATGGCTCGAATATATTAAAAGTCTAGCGAGGATGAGCGTTCCATATAAGTGCAATTTTCATCTCTTACAATTAAAAATGCTACCGTGGAGAGCGGAAGCTAGTTCTGTCCCTGGGCGGTAGTGAAATAAATTCATTAAACATTTTCAAGAATTCAATATTGTGCGCAATTCACATTACTGAATGTTTAGTTAACAGCCTTCGTTTATAAGTTTGCCAGAAAATTGCATCAATTTCGTTGACGTAAAAATCCGATTTAATTTCGATAATATGATAAAAATAAGTATAAATTAGGAATTGAGCAGTTATATTTTTTTAAATTCGTTCTTATGCTAGTAAATGAATTCAAATTAAAAATTGTCCCCGCTCATGTACTTCTCGTTAATGAGAAATTGCTCGTATCTGAGTTTTGCAAGAGCAGTTATGGTATGAATTACTGCAATTACTGAAATTAATTTCACGCACCCGTTTAATTTTTTTGCTATCAAATCCTTGACGTATCAGAATTTATTTTGCATCATATTCTACCTCAAAGCTTGGTTATGATACATGTTTCTTAGACTATTCCTTTTCAAGAGCAAGTCACTTGATACATTTTTTCTCTCCCAACTTCATTGATGTTCCTCAAACATGTAAGATATGCAGCCATTTGCCGCGTAAAAAATGGAAGCTTATAACACGATCTGGAATTGGAAACGCATGTACGAATTTCAATAAAAAAGTAAGTTTTCGCTCTTATTATAACGTGCCAAGTCGTTCGATGGATTTTATGCTTCGATTGGGCGAGATATATATATTTACAGTGAATATTCCAAGAAAATTAAGTGACACGATTCGATTTCATGCTTCTATAGTTAAAGTTAATTTACAAGTATACATATGAATGAGCAAAGTGGAATGATTCGATTTACGGTTCAGCATAGCGCGTGTAAACCGTGCTGATTACAAGGAAACCGTACCGTGATGGCTCGGTTACGCTGCGGCCGTCTCGAGGGACACAGTGCTGGCGGCAGCGCGTGGGAAGGAGCGAGCGAGACTCCAGCGCTCGATGTGTGTGTAAGGCGGTAAGATGCGTGGTGTGTGAGAAAGGTGGTAAGATGCGCGGTGTGTGAGAAAGGTGGTAAGATGCGCGGTGTGTGAGAAAGACGGTAAGATGCGCGGTGTGTGTGAAAGGCGGTAAGATGCGCGGTGTGTGAGAAAGGCGGTAAGATGCGCGGTGTGTGAGAAAGGCGGTAAGATGCGCGGTGTGTGAGAAAGGCGGTAAGATGCGCGGTGTGTGAGAAACGCGGTAAGATGCGCGGTGTGTGTGAAAGGCGGTAAGATGTGTGGTGTGTGAGAAAGGCGATAAGATGCGCGGTGTGTGAGAAAGGCGGTAAGATGCGCGGTGTGTGAGAAAGGCGGTAAGATGCGCGGTGTGTGAGAAAGGCGGTAAGATGCGTGAAGTGTGTGAGCGGCGGCAAGATGCGTGGTGTGTGAGAAAGGCGGTTAGATGCGCGGTGTGTGAGAGGCGGTATGATATGCGGAGTGTGTGAGAGGCGGTAAGAAGATGCGTGGTGTGTGAGAAAGGTGGTAAGATGCGCGGTGTGTGAGAAAGGCGGTAAGATGCGCGGTGTATGAGAAAGGCGGTAATATGCGCGGTGTGTGAGAAAGGCGGTAAGATGCGTGAAGTGTGTGAGCGGCGGCAAGATGCGTGGTGTGTGAGAAAGGCGGTTAGATGCGTGGTGTGTGTGAGAGGTGGTAAGATGCGTGATGTGTGTGAGAGGCGGTATGATGCGCGGTGTGTGAGAGTCGGTATGATATGCGGAGTGTGTGAGAGGCGGTAAGAAGATGCGTGGTGTGTGAGAAAGGTGGTAAGATGCGCGGTGTGTGACAAAGGCGTTAAGATGCGCGGTGTGTGAGAAAGGCGATGTGTGAGAACTGCGGTAAGATACGCGGTGTGTGAGAAAGGCGGTAAGATGCGCGGTGTGTGTGAGAAAGGCGGTAAGATGCGCGGTGTGTGTGAAAGGTGGTGAGATGTACGTTAAGTGATGCTGTACGCTGTAAGATGCGGGGAGTGTTAGAAATAGTGTAAGACGACTGTCGGTGGTGAGTATTGACAAAAGATGAGAAAGATGCATGATAAAGAAAAATGCAAGATTATCAAGCACCCACGAAGCAATAAGAGGCGAATATAGATTCGATAAGTAGGAGGGTTAAAAATGCGGCTGAATGTGAGATGTGCGCGTACAGTTGCGCAGGCATCGAGAATGCAAAACTAAACGAGGGTGTGAGGTATGAGAAGGAACAATATTGTGCAAGTGAGAAAATATTAACGAACCAATATGGTTTGATTTGAAAGATACATTTTCACATTGCACTTATGTACCTCAAGAAGCGTAGCAGGTTCCGCAATCAACTAGATGGTTAATGAAAATCTAACGACTAATGAACATTTTATTTGGTAATTGCCGCTGAATAACTAATTTTCCAAGTTTAACATGGCTTTTATTTTTATATTAGCACAACGACTCCAGCACATTTCTCTAATTTCTACATGACCAGTACAAATTTTAACTCCTTATCCTATGATTTTCTATTGCTGCTTGTGACTTATAAAACTTAGCAACCACAGTTTTGTACATCGAGTCAGTCTAAAATACTTTGTCTCGTCATTTACAAACTGGAATGCAATTTGTATTCTGACGTAAACCACACAAAGGAAGCAACTCCGACTCACGAGTTAGACATTAGTTCTGAGATATTTCCTACGCTACGTACTAGGCTGTTGCCACACATACATCTTATCTTCTGCCGTCCGTTCGTAACTGTTAAAGAAAATTCCAAAAATACCACGAGTCGCATCCCTGAATAAGACGATTGTTGCACACATAACTTTATACAGCTGGGCGCTTCTCGCGATTCTCTAAAGAAATAATATTGCAACTACGGAATGTTTGGAAGCCAAACTCATCACTATGAACTACACATCAGTAAATAACCGGAATGGAAATTGAGCAAGAAATGAAACTACTTAACGTTAACCTACAGTAAAAATAACTGTAAATAAATGTAAAAATTCTACAAGATATTTGAAAACATCAAACAAATACATGCGTAACAACAAGTGTTCTTTTCCATGAAAAAATCTGAAAAAGAAATTAAGTATGAAAAAACATTGACTAAATAAACCTATTATAGTTTCCAATATCTCAGCTACGAGTAACATAGCTTTGAAGTTATGAAAAGATTAGTAGCTAGTATACATTGCACTATGTAGAATAAATAATAACCGTGAAATGTAATTTTCACTGTATCAAAAAAATTGTTTTCAATACATAGATAGTTATGGCAAACAGTGGTCAAAAATGAATAACCTTGAATCTATTACAAACATTAAAAAAATCATAATTACGACAATCAACACTCATCATGGTTGTTGTAAAAAGACAGAGAGAATCTTCCGGGCATTTCATAGATTGTTACAAGTTGTCCCGTTTGATTGTCGAGGGAAACGGCGGTTTTAATTTGCTATCGTTCAGAAGAAATCATAATAAACCTCGACGCGAAAATCAGTTGACTCAATAAAAAATTTTTATTCGCAAATGAATTCATATGACCAATTAAAATTATGGACCTGTACGGAATGAAAAACGTTTCCATTGATAAATGGAACTAATAAACAAAGAATCTTCGTCGATTATTTTCCTCTTAGGTGCGTAAATGAGCGTGCGTGAATGTTAGTGGTCTTTAAATTATGTCCAACGGTTCAAGGATTAGATTAAATTCACTTGGCCTCAAAAAGTAATGTTCAAATTTTACTTTTCATTAGCTAAGAATTTTGTACTGCGTGTTATTGCATTAGCGAACAGAACATCGTATACGTAAAGAACTCGAATAGGATAAAAATGTTATGCAATTCAACAAACATTTTAAAAAGCTTACGGCGCAACTCACAAGCAATGGATTGACGTTAATTAGGTTCATTATTGGCCAAACGTAGTTAGCCCGCATCGAGGTGTAGCTCATGTGGCAGCAGCTTTAACAACTTTTATGCGCATAAATTCAATCATTCGTTAACTTCACGGCGTTTTCGCTCTCCCCGGTCGCTGTCTTAGTCTACGAAACTGTTGTACCGTCTCCAAAAACGAGACGCGCCATTGAAATTGTTGTAAAGAGGATATCGAGGTGCTCGCGCGAAAAGAACAAATGATAGCATTTCTCAAATCTCCAAGATTTTTAGCAGCCAACAAATGTTTATTCAAATGTTAGCATTGATTGAGAAATTCGGGACGGTATATTATTCATTCCATCGAGAAATACATATACCATTCATAATTTGATTTGATGAAAAAGAAACCTCACTAGAGGAAAATGGAGAACATCGTCTATCGGCAATTTTCGGCATATATAAAATAAAATATCAATTACTGATATTTTGGCTAGACACTAATACAAGAAGTTCCTCCATCACGAAATAATGGTAAAATCACGCGATGGTAAAATTTTTCGAGAAAAAGTATCCCTAATAAATCTAGAATAAACGAATGTGTATGCATTCAAATACTGTGATATCTAATGCACTTCAAATCCAACACGTGTCCATGTATATGGTGATGGCCAGCCGAACGAGACAAGTTTGGAACTAGATACTGCAATACAACTATCGGCTGGAGCAGCACTATACACAGCGCCTTAGAAGTCAGTGAGAGACTAGCATCAATTGCTGGGCACGTTTCTGAGCTAATTAATGAATAGAAACCACATCTGAGACTATTTTAAGAGACTATGCTTTCATACAAAGTGTTCGTCAATTTTCAATGGAAGTTGGATATATAAGAACATTCGAAATGTTGAACATATTTGGCTCATTCTATCATGCTTGTGGAAGAGCTACTTGAAACGCCATGTTGAGATTTTACATGAAAATAGAATTCTGCAATGAAAATTCCATCACAATCAGACAATGTTCTGTATAGATAGAAATTAGAGGAACACTTTCACCAAGCTCCAATGACACATCAGATGTCAGTACCTTTAACACAAATTAATGGTAAATCTACAATCCATTTCCGACAGGTTTTTACTAATAGTAAGCATACCACACGACTATAACAACCGACACTTAAATATAGAAACGCACAAGTTCTAACATATTCTCCATCATTAGGATTGATATAATTTCACTGGCACCAAATTATAAAAGAAAAACATCGGAGAAGAAATTTCGTCACTATTTCTGACAATCGACCAAACATGAGCCAATGTCTAACCATTACCATTACTTGTTACTACTACCATTACTTGTTTAATGGTAATCGCTTAGTTTTTTTCCCGCAAGTAAAGCAGTAACCAAAAATAAAAATAAAACATCGCAGTAATACATTAATACCGTGCCTATAGTAAACTAGATAACTCGTTGAGTTTGGTTGGAGAGAAAACAATAAGATTGAATTGAAGTAACACTTTGTTAACCGCGCAACGGCTTACATGACACATGAGAATCTCGATCAGGAGTATTTAAGCCTATCTATGCTCAACCTTACCGATAATATGTACAATTCACCCTGTACTTTATCAAAATTCAATATTTTTTGGTAAAAAATATTTTGATGACCAGGACCAATCAGATCCAAGAGCAGTGTCTTATTTTCATTAGGAATTCGCAAACAAATCTAGATATGCTCATTGGACTTGATTGAGATGAAACGATTGCAAAAATTTCTACGTTTTTAGATTTTCAAGACTTAAACTGTGCAAGGTAAATTTTTTATTGACGTCATCAGTAAATTAACGTTTCTTTACAATAGGTACGGCGACCTGCATAGCGGTTCATTCATGTGATTGTTATAGCTTCGTCTGGTCATCGCGTACATCGAAAACTGGGGTCTCACCTCGGCCGCTGGAGCCGCCTCCAGACTCAGCCGAAGGCGAGTGGACTGAAGAATTCGGGGTGGTATTCGGTGGACTTGGAACATGTGTGATCCCGTTTTCGCTAGAAACTATATCGGGACAAATGACTGTTGAATTTTCATCTTCAGGGATTTGATCAGTGTTTGAGTCAGTACTCGTGTCCTTTGTGATAGGCAAAACGCGGGAGTTTTGGTCGTGGTTATTACTAGCATCAAGGGTCCCGGAATATTTAGAAAGAACGGAATGTCTGGAATCGGGATCGGAATGCTCTGCAGCGTCTGTAACATCACTGCCCTGAGATATTGCCCCAGGGTCTGATCGAACAGAACCGCCGTAGACGGACGCAGAAGCCGAATGAGCATCTATACTCATTATCTGCTGGTTCTGGAAGGGAGGCGAATGTGGCGGAGATACCCAGCCATAATAATCTGGTACGTAACGCCTGCCTTTCTTGAGAGGTCGAGGACCGTACGAGGCGTGATTGCATCGCCTTGGTCTGGCATAATTGCTGGTTACCGAAGAAGCAGAAGATTCCACGCCGCAATTGCCACATTGGTACAACCTCTGACATTCGGGAATTGAGGCGAAGGCTTGCGCGAGCCCCTCGATGCTCTGGTAGGTGCAAGAGGAGTATGGCGACCCGCCGCCCTCCACGCTGGCAGCTCGCGACATCGCGGGAGTGACGACTTGAGTCGACGAATAGCACGCGTACGGTAACTGCGGAAATCGAAGAATGGAATTCACATGTTAGTCATTCATAATTAGGGCATGAATAAATTTGATTGCTGCATTTGAATTTTCTTCGAGAAACTTTGTTCAGTAAAGACTTTCAGGAAGGTAAAAAACAGTGATAAATATTACATTCTAAATGATTAAAAGTAGAATAAAATCGTTGTCTGAACAACACAAACATAGATAAAGCGATTATTTCAGGTGAACTTACGGAAAAAAATATACTTAAAGAAAAAGAAACGCTAAGACTAATTTTAACAATAATCATACACTACGACCGTCAAGTAAGATAACAAAATCTACACAATGATAATGACCTCGTCCATTGTTTTGGTTCTGTTGAAGGAATTCACTCTGGCAGAGTAGCCGTTGAGGGGCGGGGGGTGGTCCGGCGGTGGAGGTGCCACCATGTCGCGTAAATTCAACGCTATACCCTGAACAGTCACAGGAAAATACATATTCTGTTACAAAATGTCAAACTGGCATATATTAAATTCCCAAGTTCCAAAGAACATGACTCAATTTGTAATTGTCAGTCACTCCAAATAATACAAAATTGTATACATGTTCATTGATATAAAATATCAAACAACAAAGGTAGAGTAATTATTTATGAATCAAGGGTGACAAGTAAAGCCCTTGGAACTTCGAATCAAGGCGACACAAAGTTCCGGACACCATAACTAACACTGCTGCCCAAAACCCATTTCTGATAGGGACGAATTTCAACTTTCAGTTGATAATATACCGAGACGAGTCGTCCACGACAAGAAAAGCAACATAAACAGGTAAACCCAAATTCAAAATTCGATTAAAAAATTTAAGAACATTTTTGAAAACCTATGGTCACTGTTTTTAATTTCGAATATTTTACTAAGCAAAATGATTAGCTAAATCCTTTCCTGTAAATGAGAACTAATTTGAAGGTCACAGAAAATCGGCCCATACTCTCCAACGCGGCAGGCTCATAATTTGCGTTTACAGGGAGCCAGTTGTTCAAGTCACTTTATCTGACTAGTTCTAACTGACAATAATTATCGGGCTAGTGGCCTCGCGTAGAGAGATACATGCTGCTTTAGTGGCTTTTAGCGCATGGCGGCCAGTAACTGGTACCGTGATAAACCTACGGCTGCCTTATTGGCTTGAGAATGAAGACAGTTCGTATATTCATTTTGAGTAACTGTTCCCTTATGCAAGTTTATTACCTGCAAAATCTCATAATTTTTCCCTCGTCATATTTTGATATCGAATCCATCATAGATAATTTAAAATCGCTTATTTGTCTAGAACTAATATTAGTTGTAGTTTGTTACTATTAATAAAATACAAACACTCATGATGGTTTGCTGACGGTAACTATCATTGCCTTCCATTAAACACAAATAGCATTGACGACGGGTAATGCATCGGAAACCAAATAGTTCAACATTGCAAAGAAATTATGGCAAGATGGGTTTTTTAGTTTTAACGTCTACTTTCATAAATCAGCTAGGAATTATTGCTTTTAGGTACTTTTGTGAATTCACTAATGAATGACTGAAATTTTCATTTAACCGATCTATCTGCTACCTATCGAGACACACACTGACAACCACACCAAAAAAGACTGATAGATGACCTAGAGTAAAAGGGTTATTATTACGCCATTATTATGAGTGTTTCAAACATGGTCCCTAATAAGAGAAGGAAAATATTCTGGTAGTCATGCATTGCCAAGTCTTCATTTACACGTCACGTCTCGTAACGTTTAAGAATATTTGGGACACATGTTTTTAAATGTCTGACAGAATTACTGTGCTGTTATACAATTTTTTTGGACAATTTTATAATCTCCGTCTAGCTATTTTTCTGAGACATATCTCGTCTCGTACCATTGTCCCGATTCATTTCGAGATAACTAGTCCGAGATGTCGCACGAGTGATATTTCCATTAATTTTATAATTGATAGTACAGACTTTATTTCGAGTCCTGCTTAGCTCCTTAAAGAAAAACAATATATTGCATATAATGTATCCTATCATTTAATTAATAAATCAAACAAAAAAAGGTATCTAAATCTATTCACGAATCACATTACACTAAATAAATAATAATTTATTCTCAAAATTGAGAATGCTCCCCGATCTCCTTCCTCATCAACACTTTCCTCCGTGGTCAGACTTCCAGTACAGCTTCTTCGACGTGCTTGATGCAGTAGCGCTGCAGGACGATTCCTCAGAGTCGCTCTATGTACAAATGCTTGCAGTTGTAATGCACTTACAGTAGTCCGTTGAGCCTTGGCTTGCGGTAGTTGAACTAAATTTCTAATTGCTCTTTTCTGAATTATCAATGGTTGTGCCTGAGCTTTGTTGGCTAATTGATGCCGAACTCGGGGTTTTAGTCTGATCGCTGGAAGAAGCGATGGAATCTGTGTCACGAGTCTTGCTCTTGCTCGATGAATTATTTGATGCTGAAGTGGTTCCAGAAAGCGAGGTCAATATCGAAGCAGTTCTTTAAGACGAACCATTTTCCGTCGTCAATCGAGTCGATTTATCTGACTTGTCCCTGCAGGCCCCTTTTCTGCTGGAGCCTGAAGACTTTTGGATCTTTGATAAGCTTGCTGTCCGTTCTACCGAACTCTTCATGTTATCCGTTTCGAAAAGTTCGTCGTCAGTCAGTTGAGAGCTTCGATTATTTGTCTGTTGTGATTCATACTTGGCCCCTCTGCTGTTGGATGCTGAACTCATTTTGTTTGATTTGCCACAAGAGTCTGCAATGACTTAACATTGAGGATCTGATGAAACGGCATTTTTCCAACTTGGTTTATACTTTGAGGAGGCTCCCGAGTTTGATTTACTTCCCCGATTATCAGTAGATTTGCAAAATTTTGAAGTGCCGTTGTCTTCTGACCGTGCCAATTTGCATTAGCTCACCGAATTTGCTCTGGAATTATTTCTTGATAAGCAACTGCAATTTCTTTTTGAAAGAGCGCAGGTCGAGCTTTCTGAATTTTTCTTACTTCCCTGCGAGCTTGCGCACGTCTTTTCATATTTGACTGAGCGAAATTTCGAGATTGGCTTCTATGAGCAACGAAGCGTGGCACAAACTGAAACAGCCTCACTAGAGGCTGAGCAACCTTCTGCTTCATTTTCAGTTGAATTAATGCACTCCATACTTCGAATCTTGCAGCTGCTCTTTGGCAATTACGTCTCTGATTCATATTTTCCAGAGGTAGTACTGCAAGAGTTACAATCCCGACTTTTGTTGCAATCACTGGTAATGTCTGTGATTTAGTTCATTTTAAATGCTGCGTACTTGGTTGCTCCAATACAGCCACAGAATGGGTCTTTGATCACATTATCACTACATTTCAGAGCTGCTTTTTCACATTTATCAAACTTGCACTTCAACCTACTGAAAGCTCTGGCGATTGTCTCTTTGATCACCTTCCTTCGCCTTCCCCTAAATGGATCATCGCATCCATCATCAGAAGAACTGGAGCTGGAACATGACGAAGAAGAGGTACTTTCTTGGCAAGGATATTTTGTTTGGCAGCAAGTCTGCTTGCTGCACTCGTTGCAGTCTTCCGTATTGCTTGTGTTGCTGGTCTTCATTGAAGTTTCTTCACAATAGGCGGTTACACGCCTCCGATTCCTCTGGGCACCTCTCAAGTTTCGAATAACTTAGTTTGTTGGTTTTCGGCCCAATGTTTCGAATTTGATCTTCAATTAGCAGGAAGTTGGCTTTGGAATTTTCAAGTTGCTGGAAGTCGAGAAGTATAGTCCATGGTATTGTTGATACCGAGACTATAGAAGTCATATTTGGAATATTTCTTTAAATTTTGTAATTAATACTTTTGAGAGACACATCTCTGCGGATGCATAATGCTTGCTTTGCAAAATATTGAAGTAGAATATTTCGTTCGTTCGTTTTGCCATGCATTTCCCAATTTATCAATCGCTATTTTTCATGCTTGAATGTTGATAGAAAATTTTTGTCCGAGTTCAGTTTTCCCGGGTCCAAAAATGTGAATGCCAGATATCGTCAATACATTCAATTGAGCAGGTTTAGTACCTCAATTTGTTTATTGGCAAACACAAAAAGCAGCGACAATGCAGGCTCGAGTTGTTCAAAATCTACTTTCGAGGGACGCTAACTTTTTCTTCAGTAAAATAAATGGCAGTTTATCATGGCATCAAAGATATTGACCTTGATATGGTTACGAAGGAGATTTTTTTCATGTTGTCAATTCCGTGAAGATCCTGTAAACCGGTGCAAAAAGTATAATTATATATTTACCTTGGTAACGGTCTAGATGCATAAGAACGAATTCAGTCTGATATCCATAATCATTATCTGCAATACCAGCGACCGGACTCGACCATTTAATTTGCAACACTAAACAAGTAAACGCTCAGTGGCCGCTTTATTTATTATTAAGACAATAATAATCGTACAATAATATTACTTTCGCAAATTTTGGGAAATTCTGTAAGTCTCATTCGGTCAAGATGTAGCACAATTCGACATAGAACTCTCGTATGGCAAGATCTTCAAGAATGTAGCGTCTTGGCTCGTCATTTCTCTCAGTAACATCTCCTGTAGTGAAAGTCTCTATTGTCCGTGCTAAATTAAGGTCGCTTGGCGAGTCTGACCATCATCTAATAAAAACAACATACTATGCTAATGTACCATGTTAATTAAGAACGTGATATTTTTCCCGTGACATAAATAACCATTTGTCTTGTTGTCAACGCATACTGAGATAGACTAGGGGTTGCTTTTCAATATCGTGTTACAATTTTATCAGTAATAGTAAATGATGGCTTGTTGAAGTAATAATTGTAATTTCAGTACAGTTCATAAGTTACATGCAACAAAGGAACCTGCCTTTTTAGCAGGATCAAGTTTAATCTCAATTCTGCGTTATCTGCGAGATCGTTTGTTATTGTTTATTCGAATTGAACAGCCTTATAGTTCCACTATTTACTGAGCAGTTGAAGGTCTCGGGAGGGAGAGTTAATTTTTGGAGGGTCTTGATTCCGGCGTAAAATACCTGTGAGAATCGTTGAATGGCTTCCATGTGCTATTCCAATGAGTACGATATACAATTTATGTTCGTCGTAGACACTTAGTTTGGGACTTTTTATTTGTTTTATAGTTGAGACAATAAGATATCTACGAAACAGAAAATGTAAAATTTACCCTAATTCACATCTTCAGAACGTTTACACACATTTTACTTTAAATGTTTACACATTTTTACAATGAAATTGTTAATGCCATTCTCTTTTATAAGAGCAAATTAAAAGGGCCACAGAAATCCCACGACACTCTCGTAAGCGGCCGTCAGTTCGGGTGTGTTTGCTAAGTTCTACTTGCGGCAGCCACTTGTAGTCTAGCTAGTACTAGCCGCAACTTGGGCACCTTTAAAATTTCCTGACAATAACAACAATAGCAAAATATAACATACTATGTAACCCCTAATATGCAACAGAAAATTTTTTTTTCGATATTTTCGAAAAACCTTTTGTCAGTGTTCAATATTTCAATATTCAATTTCTCGACTAGAAGGGTTCTGGTAACTTCAGGGGCTGCTAGTGAGTGGCGGCCAGTAGCTGGCCTAATAAACGAACGGCCGCTTAAATGTTTGAGAAAGATGACAGTCATTTTATCTGGACAATTCTCGTCTCGGTTCATTCTCGGTTCATCCAAAACGCACGAATGCCTCTTAACCCCTTAGTGGAAGGTTTCCATTACACTGTTCCTTAGTTGGAGGTTTCCTTACAGTAGGTTTCAGTTGAAGCCATCTGTAGGTGATAAATTTGCGTTGTCACACTTAGTGTATAGAGTTTCTGATACCTGTTTGAGCAGGTGCGGCTGAGACGTGAAGGTGTTGACACTGTAAGGCGACGGGGCACTAATTCGAGAGTTGCCATGTCCAGGGAGTTTTTGGTCCACAGGAGCGTAGCCGATGGACGCGGGGTAGCCGACGAGGCGGCCAGTCGAGTATGTCGATGTCACGGCCGGCGCCCGGAACTGTGAGCCTGGCTGGCCAGGATACGCCGAGGAGACGAACGTTAGGTTCATGTGTGTCTGGGACGAAGGCAGCCCCAGCATGGAAGGTTCGATGAAGTATGGACCACTGCTGCTCGACATGAGCTTACCTGAGAGAAGAAATGTTTCATGCAATACATAGATGGTAGGTTTCCAGTATAAAGTAATTGCACTACAGCGTCATTTGTTCGCGATTTTTATATAATATTGAAACTACAATAATTGTACGCTATAGGGTCATCCGTAATTAGCCATCCAAACATCATTTGATCAATGTTCTCAACAGTTATTCAGCCTAAATAACCTGTCTCTAGGAATGTAAGACCAACTGTTGAATCACATTTAGGGGGAAAGTTTATCTGGATCTTTCATCGTTCAAAATGAATCGTTCGATATTATTGGTAGATAGTCAACAATCAAAACAGAGTACTTTTTGATATATTTAATGCGAATCATGCTGCGAATTGAGAGAATGCTGCGTTTGAACCTCACAGGAAGCTGAATTGTTCGCAGTTACATTTATCCTAAAAATTTGAAAGCAAAGAAAAGTCCACAAAAATTCATATCTATATAGAAAACGTTTCGGAGTCCAGCTCCATCGTCAGTTCGTAGAATCTAGAACATACATAGAAAGTCACAAGTTAATACAATTGAAAGCTAGATTCTACGAACTGACGATGGAGCTGGACTCCGAAACGTTTTCTATATAGATATGAATTTTTGTGGACTTTTCTTTGCTTTCAAATTTTTAGTCAACTTGCGATTTAAGCAAATAAGTGACATTAATACATTTATCCTTGTCAGCTCATTGAATCAAAAATAAAATCTCACTATAGGCTGAAAGAAAGAATTTTCCGTCACCGAACGATACGGTTCGGCTAATCAGTCTAAGAACCGTATTATTGTCGGAACTCATAGTTTGCGCTGAAAAATGTACCGTTAATTTTTATTGAATAAATACTCGATCATGCATTCAAATTACCGGAATTTCGAAAGAAATCGGTCATTTCAGCGAAATATTTATATTCCTTCATGCTAATTGTTTCTGGAATGAGTTTTGATGTAGGACAGCTTCATTCAGCAATGTCTCTGAGAAGTGAATCGCTGGTCCTGGATTGTCGTTGCCAGCACAGAATAAAAGCGTCAGCCGCGTGGTACATTTGCGGGCGCAACTCGCGAAAAACTTTCTGCTGATTTAAATTAACCAAACAGCCCTCGCGGTGAACTGGAGGTGGGTAAAACTTTCTCGCAATTGTCCAAAAGTTTGGACAAACTCTTCCTCAGCGGAGGTTTGCCCAAAGTTATGAATTAAATAAGGCGAGTTTTCCTCCAGCACGACATTTTCTTGTTGGACCATGAAAACGATACGCTGCCGGCAGCAAGGGACCACAGGCAAGGGAAATGAGCCAATGTAGGAAAATTTCTACTATAAACTCTTATCAACATTTAAATTATATGCGAGATTAAGTTTTCGCCAGCGATGTTGTTGTAAAAGGTTAGATCTATTTTGAAAGGTTCTCTGAATGACCATCTGAAGAAAGTTAAGACGTGCTTGTTAAGGTAAGCCGTGCTTGAAAGTTAAGATTTCTGTTAATTACCAGTATGTTTGTCAATTTATATTTTTCTCTAATTAATTTCTTTTGACATTCTTGAGACAGAAATTCAGTTAGGTTATTATCACCATTTCCTTGCTAGCGGTGAAAGGTTTTACGTTTTTAACCTGTTAAATTAATATCCTTCTTTGCACACAAAATTCCGAGCAGCGTCGATTCAACCCTCAAGTATTTTATATAATAAAAGTGTAACATGTCAATAATGACTTTATTAAAACAGCGAAGACTGAGCGAACACATTAAAGGAAACACTAACTATTCATAGATGGTTTTAAATAAAGGGAAATTTTGACTCTTCCTAACTAAGACCCCAGACATAGGACTCACCAGCGCATTCAGAAGAAGGATGTCCATCCTGGACGCGCTGGACGCTGCCCCGCATGACGGGCGCCGCCTGAGGCAACGAGAGAAACTGTGAGACGCTCGCCTGCTGTACAGGGAGCGGGACACAGGCGATTGAAGTGAGCAGTTGTGAGCGCAGGCATGAGCATCCGGGATGTTACGAGGGTGATGGTGAGGGTGATGCAGCGGGGGTGATGGTGAGGGTGATGCAGCAGGGGTGATGGCGAGGGTGATGTAACGAGGGTGATGGTGAAGGTGATGCAGCGGGGGTGATGGTGAGGGTGATGGTGAATGTGATGCAGCGGGAGTGATGGTGAGAGTATTGCAGCAGGGTGATGACGCGGCGATGTAGCGAAGATGATGATGTTGTAATGCAGCGGAATTGATGGTGTGGTGAAGCAGCGGAAGTGATATCACGCAGTAATGAGGTCAGGCATCATTAATGATGCCGCATGATGATGAAGCGCCATGATGATGTCGAGGATGACGTGAGCAGCACATGAAGGCGACAAAAATGTGGCGTCAAAGTTAGGAAAAAAATTCATTTTAGGTCTCTGTATAATTACGTGATTAATTTTTATAAAATCAAGCACCAAATTACTCGATTAAAGCTAATACATCTAAAATACAAACAAATAAACATATTTTGATATCAGAGACATTCTTAAACCAAATTTCCTGAAACTTATCACACAATAGAAATGTTAGTAATGAATTATCTTTTGACTGAAAGCGATTAACTCAGTACCTTAAAATCTTAGCGCCTCAATGTCATAGATGCTATGGGGCAGTTGCTGCAGCTTAAAAAAATGCAGATAAAAAGTTGCTGCAGCTTTATGAACCTCGAAAAAATAAGCAAAGCCTTGTTGTCAAAAAATTTTCTCAGAGCAAGTAACAGGATAAATTAATAATTATTACTTAAAAGCTCAAATTTCTGAACGTTCTAACACTTGACTTTCCTAAATGAGAACACAAATATTTGAATAACAAAACTAGCTGTGCCATCAATTTCAGCTCAGTTGTTGATAGTACAGCCAAATCCGTAATTAAAACCCCATCAAGATCAACTCCAGTCAACTCTTCTTACAGTGACCCTAGTTAAATACTGGCGACCATCGGTACCAATATTTTCAGCTTTGCGAGCGGCTGTTCCTCGTTTGCAAAAAATAGTATTTTTTATATAAGAGGGACTTGAAGCTTCTGTTAAGCGACAAATCCTTAGAAACGGACATCATTAAAAACGAAGCCAAGTGTATGTACTGCATAACTTCACTTCTCACCTTCGAGCGAGAGCTCTTACAGGAGCTCAGAATAGAAGCAGAAGCGTACGCCTCCGCTCCGGAGCTCGAACTTTTCTCCAACAGGTCACCGGTAGACGAAGATCCGTTTACGCCCCTACCATCAAATATGTGCCATTTATATGGAACAATAGTATAGTGACATTTATTACAAGAACAAATTATTTCATCAGGCCCGGCATTAAGGTGCCGTAGGATTTACCTTTTAGCCCAGTGTATTAAAATAAAGAAAAGAATGAATGTAAAACCTTTGGAGTAAAGAATGTATAATAAAGTCTACTCGACTTGCGATGAAACAGAAATGAAACACTAAACATAAATTGTTGAGTATATATTGGTTGATGGTACCGGAATTCCCTGGCGGTATGTAAGTTATAACTAAAAGAATATCTTCAAAAACTCTGCAGTTTGAGGCAAAGACAATCATTGTAATTACATTCGCGAAAGAGAAATATATGAGAAGTACAAGAAAAAGGTGCAGTAGCCAAAACAAGGAACCATCAATTATAGGGGCCTCCCGGAACGATAAATGCATACATCTTTGATCACATTAACGTCACATGGAAGATGATCAATGATGAATAGTTTATTCACCTGCGAGCGTGGCCAAATGTTCCGAGATTATCAATCTCCGCATATTCGGGCGACAGGCTTGCCAATAATGCATCCTCAGCCGAGCCAGGATCTACGGGAGACGGAAGCAAGTTTGTGCTAAAGGGAGATTTGCAGGTCGGACTGCGTAACTGAAGGAAAGTTTTAGAGCCCTCCAATGATTTCCGGTTGCCGCTATCACCAGAATCTTCGTCTGAGAGTTTCCAGTTCGATGAGTCTGGCCATAAGTTCTCACCTCCGTAGAAATTTGCCAAGTTGCTCGTTTTGGTCACAGATCCTGCCCGATAAAGCAGAAAACAATAGTTTAGTGTCAAGCACGATTTCCTGCCTTCACTGACCATAGAATCAAGCATTTTGTTTTAACATTACGCATGTGCTGCCTTCCAGTCAATGTTCCAGTCAATTCTACTCCGCACAGTTATGTGAATTCATTTTTCAATATGCAAGAGCAAGAAGATTTCATTTCATTCAATAATAGAAAATAAACAGACTGAATTTTAGTTTATTATATTGCCCGAATCCTTTCAGCAACGTTAACATTGAATCAACGTGAAATTATGAAGGCCTGAGGGCCCATGTAAAGGGCCGTACATTATGTTTAAAGGTTTTGTAGTAAGAAATCCATCAAGAGAATCAACAGAAACTTGCTGAAGCTTGACCCGGACAAGGGCAATTCTGTGTTGGTAGCAGGAACTGTTAGTGTTGAAAATGCGGCGGAAAATGGCCTTAGGGCCGACACAAGTTGGAGCAGCAGAAGGGTTGAGTTGTCTCTAGCGCAGCTCTAGACTTGTCCTAAATTATGCTAATGACCTGGCCTTTTCCTGTCCTCAGGCTACGCTTGAATATATTTCGATCGCATGAGATCACAACATAATTGAATACAATTACTTCGAGGCACAGCGTGCACAAGTTTACTTAGCCGACATCAAAGGTTCCTCCGGTATTACGAATTGGAGAATAATAAGAAAAAGTAAACAGAGAAAGAGAACAATAATATGATACACTAAAAAGGGAATAGTTACAAATAAGACCGATTGCGACATAATGAAACCCAGCATCCTTTGCATTAAGTCATTATCATAATGGTCGTCATAAATAGTTGGAAACGTGAAAAATGTCTTGTTCAATGACATTTTCTTTCAACGTAAAATCGTAAAATTTTTTTGATGTGGAAAGGAAGTTTGTTCAGCAACATAGATTTGTATTTTATGAAGAATGTTTTCAGCTATTGACAGGAAATAGCCGTTCCCGTTATTTCAAACGATACATTTTGCAGTATATTATATTATATTATTTAACATATAGACAATGTTGTACAGTAAGCACTGGAAGTCAGTTCATCGAAACACTCCACAGTGCCTTATACGAGTGAAGAAATGAACCATGCTGACAATGACGTTGACTATTATATTGTTACTGGCTTGGTGAACGTCGCGAGGTTGCCTCGACGCTCCCACCAACAAGAGCTGCTATACCTCAAATTTACGCTCTTCCAATTTGCTAGCTAACGTCGTAAACTTGTCTTAACTAACTATTCGAAGATATTCAAATATTTTGAAGCGATATTGCAATGTTACTCTTACAGCTGCTGCATTATTGTCAATATGGGTTATACTCGTGATGTTGGATTATACAATGTTAACATCAGAACATGACTCCATGATTGAATGTGATTTTCGATCAGGTTGGATTTTATTGTCTTCATAAACTACACTTCAGTAAACCCTGTACATTATTTCCGCTCTCAATGTTAGACATAAAAGAATTGATTTATGAATGATTGATTGCGAAACAGATTAGAATATGCGGATCTGCCACAACAATGCTTATAATTCTCAAGTGAGACGAATCTGTAGTGCGGAAAACTGAGACTTTGTCAAAAATGAACTGGATAAATTTATGCATGTAGCTAAGTAGAGCACGTAACATATTTGTGAAAAGGCTGCCTTGTTTAAAAAAATAGCAACCCGTTCCCAGTAGATTTAGAAGGTTTAATTTCGAAGGAAGAATTGAAATTCGGTGACAGCCTCCATACGCAGAAGTTGGAGAAGACAAAAATATTGTCTGTCTCGACCGTCTCAGGCACGACTAACTTTTATGATTGTTTCCTCATTGGGAATGCAGGAGGTGACGACTGAGGGCGGCAGATCGAAAACCTCAAAAATGTTTTTCTCGATTTGCACCGAAAATAAAAACAAAGAAATAAAAAAACGGTCACTTTTCTGCCAAAATTTAGGGAAATTTCGGCTGGTGGTTGAAAAAATTGTTCATCTAATTCTAAATTACACGAGAGTTAGGATCTTGTAAAATTTGTTATTTCAATTCCTCGATAATAACAAAATAAAGCAACGGCAGTAAATTCTGGCAATGAAATAAATTTCTTTCATGAATAAATGGAATGCGTCGACTCGATGGAATATTTGTTCGACAAATGTACATTCGAATCAATACGAAATATGTAGACGAATAAAAAAAGTCCATGAATGAATTTAATAGTTTCACTGGATTGCTTTCAGCATTAAATTATTAATATCTTTAATACGCAGCTAAAGCCGAATGGGATCCTTTTGAAAGTTCAGACGGCAAAGTTCGTAATTCCCGCAGCAGTTTATTCTATACGGGGCAAAGTTCGAATTACAAGTAATGGTCGTTTTCTGGGAAATGGCCTTATTCTAGAGGAAAAATTTAGGGGATTAACGAGCAGATCGTTCAGCACACAAGTAAACGGATGAAAACGGGAAGTTTTTAATTGGGAATTTTCAACACCTACAAGGGGAGAAGGCCATTAAAGCAAGCTTTCATAGAAATGAGTGGCACTTTATCCAAAACGCGACGCACTCTACTCCCTTGTATGGGTCATTTTGACCCATTTTGATCTGGCATGATCAATGCTACGTCCGCTTGTGCTACGGTATACGTAAGAAACTGTCACTATCTGGACAAAATTCCCCATACATTTTTCAGGGTGTTGGCTCGCAAAATATCGAAGTAGGAAAGACAATTTGAAATATTGCTGCGCTATTCCATTAATTGTGGTCGGTACAGAGGTTGTAAGAGCGATGTTCACTCCGGCCTGGCATGCAGTGACACCGCTGGTCCCAACTTCGCAACTGCATTAGGGAGAACAGCGCCAATCTCGCGTGACAGCGCCGGTCGTAATGACATTCACTGGATCCACACGCATGCAGATCGCTGCCACATGCACTGGAACACGACCTGACACATTAAACTTGGACACATAAGCCAACCCTTCCAAACAGTCTTTTTAACCTTTCTTCGTTAGAATTCATTGCAACAAATTAATTGCAAGATATTCAAATGAGATATAGTAAAATGTGACATCGCATCTTGAGTTAATTGTCCAGGAGCGAATTCAATGAACTGCATAGGCTGCTAGTCTTCCAGTCAACAATGAATGGGAAGGAGATAAACAACAATCTTCTTGCGCCTGAGACTAGTGTAGATTCACAAATATAATGCGAAAGAACATCTGAAAGTTATACGAAAGGATTGTTCTAACATTAGTTCTATTAAAGCGAAATGCAACCTTGAGATATGAGCAAATGTGGCCACGTAAATTCGGGAGAAAATTATGCCGGAATAATGGAACATTTCAGAACAACCTGGCTAGATAATTCTGTGAAAGTTGCAAGCAACGACTCGGTATTGCGTGCTAAATGGTTTGCATAAAAAGGATCACGAGTGCTGGAGAATTTCCCAGCGGGCAGAGGTAGCAATCTCGGGATAGGCCAGCGCGTCCAATAGCACTTAGCAGGAATATTCCATGAGACCCAAGACGGTATCACAGATCAGCGTAGGCTTTGAAAATACACGGCATCTCTAATTCAAGAGCGAGTAAGCCATTGGCTTGATAGGGGAGGCTACTGCGTCTGATGGAGGCTCTGTGAGATGCTATTGATGTTGCAAGCTGCGCTAGATGAGAGCTGCACAATGCCTCGACATTAGCGTCAAGGAATTCCAGCAATCACGGTTTCATGTTAGATAGAAAGATAACGTAAGTTGAGGGAGAAGTCTTATCAATGCTTGAAACCAATACATGAAAGGCAGATATGAAAGCCAAATTGATCAAATTATATTGAGTGTATGAGCGTGGGAACATAAGGTGAATACAGCTTCTCTATGACTCGACAAAAAAATAAATTAACTTGTGTGACAACCAAAATTCGATTAAATGGTATTGGGAGAGTAGCTTCATGAGATATGTGGAAATGAGCAAATGCACAGAAACGATAAAACATATCAAATAAAACTTACACTTGAAAACGAGAAATTACTCACATGATCCTTTTATCAATGGTTCAACTTTGCAGCTACCCAAATGAACAAGAATTTAAATAAATATGCTTGGAAAATTAACCAAAGTTTGACTCGTGGAGCTTTAAAAAACTGAAGTGAGGAAAAAGCTTGCAGAGGGACAAGTCAGAAACGCTTAGCAGTGAAATAGCCATGCAACTTATTTAATATACTTTATAACGGCTCTTCAGTTAGTGATAAGCCTTTCGCATCAATTTCTCCGCGAGCCTAATCATCACGAAGAAGTTAAATTCGATAATTAGTTCGCATTTTACTAACATTTTTATCGTGGACCAATCAATAAAACTTACTGCAAAAAATTCATGCGTAAAACATTAGGATTGTTTTTATTACAATCTCATATAAAATTCAGAATGCTTATTGGTCTGACTGCGCTTAGTGGGCACAGTGAATAAAAATGTATGAAGGCAATTATAAATATACGAAGGCTCTATTCGAGAGACTATAATTTGAATAATAACGAGTTAATAACTGAATAGCAAATTGTGCGATTAATGAGGAAATCCTGAGGCACTACAAAACGAGAGAAAGAGAGAAAAACTAAAAGAAAGTTACTCTTTTCGTCTTGATTGTTTTGAATAAATAGATTTTATATTGGTTAAAATAAATATAAATTAAAACATTTTAAAACATGAAACGGGATTTGAATGAGAAAGGTGAGTTTGAACGCGTCCCTCTCTCAATGACATTACTTAACTTTGAATATTAGAACAGGATTGTGAGACATTGAAATTCTCTGATCTCATAGATTATCTATCCCATGAAATGTCGGGATTAAGTAAGCTGCAAATTCAATATTATTGAGCCCCGAGTGAAAGGATACGAGGAATTATACCAACATGGCAAATTGGCAACATGGCAATGTGCACCGAGTGAAAGTTACTGGATATTCTATACAGTAACAATACATGGAGTGAGGATATCTGCAGTAACGCATACGGGTAGTGCGGTCGGAGCTATAATAATGGAAGTGTCCATGTCAAGAATTATTGGCCTGATATTCCTCCCTAGGCTATTCTTTGGCAATATTATCGCAGTGACAGTCCATACTTTACGGCTGGCCACGACAAATCCCAGGCTTATTCAACACAGCATGAATAGAACTGTAGATGTTATATCTCAATAGTTAACTTTTACTTCCAGAGTTTCGTCTGCATTGGATGTAAGTGTGGAAACATCGCCTGTAATTGAATGAAGATGGCATCTGTAATTAAATAAATATTGCACGTCTTCTTCAGCTAAGTTGATGGAATTAAGAATATATTGCTGAATAAAAGGTAAAAGTAAGAGGAAAAAGGCGATGTTTCCTGCAAGTGTTATCAGAAGAGGCGTCGTGAGGCCCTCCATTTCCGCGGCAGTTGTGCAAGGCAAAACCCAGCGTAGGGGCCATCACGCAATGAGGGCGACGTGACAATCTTATGCGGTGTCAGATCCCTACAGATATGTCAGCGAGAACAGCCAAGACTTCCTTCACTGATGCTAGGAAAATACAGATTCTTACGAAGAATTACTCAACGGAACAACCATGAAAACATCCTTTTCAGATTTAATAGCGATGAGTTGGAATTTAAAAGAGCACAGGAAGAAAATCACGATCTCATGTGAGGTTTTCGAGGCAGTGAAAACCTAGTTCAGCAACACCCGGTTAGCAATTCAACTCCATCTTCTTACAGTAGTGTAATTATGTAAATTCTGTGCACCAATTTGGCATGAAGTTGCTGCAAATTTTATTAATAATATGCAAATTTTATTGGGCCTTATAGTACGTTATTTAATGACTACTGAGTTGAGTGATATATATCACTCTACACAAGTGAGTAGCAATACGTAAGATTCGATAGCCACAACAGTGTTTACTAGGTAAATTTAAGTTATTCCAGTCGATAATTCGGAAGAAATGTAAAATTCATAGCCGCGTAATTAAAAAAAACATTTTCTTTGTAATTCAGGGCGTTCATAGTCGTATATGCATGCATTTTATTGTACGCTCTTAGGTACGAATTGATAATAATTCAAAGATTTAAAGATTATCAAGTGACTTTGACAGCGAAACCAATTATTCTGCATCAGAGCTTGTGAACATGAGATCATGAACATAAAATATCGAATTTTGTGGTGAAGCAAATCATCGGATTTACTTGGTTAGATTCACTGCCTCGATATGCCTAACGACCCAGCGACATTCATAGAAAACAAGACAGAAAGAAATGAAAACGTTGACAAATTTAAAACTTTTGCAAATAGATTGCATTTTCCAAGGGCATAGAAAATTTTGATTTTGAAATTGAATGGAATCTTAGCAATATATAAAGGAACTGACCGTTAAGCTTGGGAAGCTTGGTGGCAGAACGCGTGGTGTAGTAGCGCTTGATGTAGAGCAGCACTACGCTGATCAGAAGCAGGAAGAACATGGCACCTCCAACAAGCATGATGAACCAGACCTCAGTCATGACTCCAGGTGTTTCGGTCCTGCGGTTCACAAACGGGTTCAGGAGAGCAGGATCAGTCTGTAGGTGTAGGGTTGGGGCGGGCGGTCCGATGCCTGCTCGAGTAGCAGCAGACAGAGAGATGGAGTACGACTGGCCAGGGCTGAGGCGCGACAGCTCGAACGACTGAAGTGAAGCGTCAAGACTCTTGTTCATGAGCAGCATCGTGCCGTTGATCATCACCTCGATCTGCGACAAAAAAATTAGGTATAACATTAGTCGTAGGAAAATGAAGTAGAGCTTGAAGGTGAGTTGCGCGTTTGGGTTTGTATCGTGCATGGTAGTGTAATGACTTACGTTCACTAGACACAGCTCAACGTTGGACACCAGCTTAAGATAAGCGAGAAATTGAGTGAAAACAATTGATGTATTCGATATCCTAACATTGTTGGAAACTATCGCTAATAAGACGACGAAATAATTCCCTCACATGAAAGCTTTTCAAAAAGATTTCTGTAGTCTTTTTCTTTAAAGATAATTTGCTCCAGTGACGAGGAATTCATTTCTGAGGGGGAATTTCGAACACTCTTTTGAATTGATGATCCTTCAATAATTGTATTTATACATCAGTTGTGAAGAACGAACCTTCTATTAAATTTTTGTAATAAACATGAAATTTAAATTTTAAAATCATTCCGAGCTCGATAAATCTGGCTCTGACATAGTTATCACCATAGTCCTGGATAATATGGTGGTATTAAAAAAGAAAATAATTTTACCGAGTTGAAAATATATAAAAACACTGTTTGCAGATGAGTGAGTTTTGACGATAAAATTAGTTACGTTGTGCACCATCTGCATGCAGCAAATGAGAACTTGGGCAAAAAGAGTGCCTGTAGAGTACATTAATTTCCATTCAAAAATTCTTCGCCTGGTGAATGTATTGAGGCTACAGTTTCCTTGATTCGCGAATTTCAGTAAAAAAACTTTTTCCGCTAAGAAGGCAAATCTTCGCTAGGTAACAATTTGCTTCGTGGAGAATATTCATTCCACTATTTTAACTTGGTTAATTCCGACCGCTCAGGAGAAGTTTGGAGAATTTGTAATTAACATTTTATTTGTAAATCGAAAAACAATAAAATCTCAAGTTTTTTTTCCATTAAATGAATAAACCTGGCCTCTGTCATAATCTCGGGGCGGATTTGTTAAAATTCAATACGACTCACATGGCCAAAAATTCTTTTTTTTTTGACAAAACGTGCAATGCCATGTAAATGCAATAGACTTGAAACAACGGCTCGGCAATAACCAGCGACAAAGGCGCTATTTTGTAGCCCGAAATGGACAAACTTCGACTATTCAAGAGCATAGCGTCAAAATATTCTAAGGGATTTTAATTCAATTTATTGAGGTGCCTGCATCGATACAGTGTTCCCAGGAAGCCACCATCACTTCATTCTTCACAATAAATATAAAGTCGTAAAGTGAAGTTAGAAGTTAGACCAGAATTATGTCCCATTCAGACCAGAGCGAACGGTTTAACTTGATTTGCATTTTATGCCGACCGTTTCAGAGACAACAAATATGAACCAATTCACCAGCTTAACTTCACCTCGGGGATATATGAGCATGCGAAAATCTATGAATGAGTAGCTGAATTTTAAAAGACTTATTCAAGCAATGCGTGAATATTCACAGAAATACGAAAAAGTAAGTTTTTTTAATTTCTATAATATTTCAGGTTTAAAACTGCTGTAAAAGGCTTAAAATTTGTAATTTTACTATTAATCTAATAGAAACCGGATTATAGAAACGACTCATTATTAGGATGTCTCAACAAATACCTAGGCACGAAAATGCATGGAATGAACAGGTATTTTGATTTAAACGCGTGAAATCACAAGTTTCAACAAAAATTTTGGTTTAAACTTGTGAAAACAGTTCATAGATATAACGGAAATAATTTTCCTCCGACGATTTAGTATAGAAATATGCTATAGGAACAGAGCTAAAAGATTCTCAGAGCATTTAATTGGCTGTATCAAATAAATTATGTGCGAGAAATTGAACATACTTTGTGAGAAAATTTTTACGACAGAGTGTATTTCATTATGAAAGAATTGTCTATAGTTTAAATAGAATATTTTACAGTATAATCTGCTACGACTGGAAAATATTAAGCTATATTGCGGCATGAGCAATATAAATACTTTGATGACGCCATTGCGGCACAGAGACGGAAGTTGAAGCTGGGCAGCCAAATTAAAACCAAGCCGGAGCTAAAATAGCTCAGCCGCTTATTTGAATCTCATTTTAAACTGTAATTGAAAAGTTGCCGCCAGCAAAAAGCGCAACGATAAGGCAATAAGAGCTTGAATGAGGATTCTTTCGGCCCCGCGTCCTCATTAGGATGAAAAAATTATTCTTAAAGATTTAATAAAAAATTCTCTTTGCCTCAAGGCTACAAAGCTGGACACATATGAGAGTTTAAATAATGTCATAAATGCATGGAATTATGTGACAAATTGAATTCTACGCAAAAATTGTAACCAGAGTTCAAAAAATGAAAACCAACAAATGAAGATGCACGTTTACGAACATTGACTACGAGCCTGGCCTATAGCATAAAGAGAATCTTTGAGACAATGTACAGAGCATGTCCTCCCATGCAGCCAGCAGGACACGCAAAACTTCTATTTTAGCTCAGGATTAAACTAAAAAGTCGAGTTGAACGACTCCAAATAGTCCATAAATCTATGACATCTGAAGGCTTCATGCACAGGAGTCAGAATCTCGAGTTGAATTCGAAACACGTTCCGATTCAGCGCAAAATTTCTGCAAAAATCTACTTATGCACATAAAAAAATACTTTTGAGATTAAAAATCTACTTTTTTCATCTAAAAAGTTTTTGGCAATGATAAATTTGATATAATACAAGGAGTTGATTCAGTAAAAAATACTAAATGAAAGTAATAAATGAAAGAAGTTAATCTACTTTACTGCTATATTATTACCATTGAATTAATTTCCAAGTAAACTATGCCAACGTCTTGGTGAAAAAAAATCGGAATTTTCATCAGAATCGATAAAAAATTTCCTCCACGAGTTCTTCCATCACCCATCAGGTTCATTTCCGTGTGCGATGATTAAAAACATGCCGCATATCTCGTATAAAAAAGTGAGAGGTCATGATAAATGAAATAAATTTGCAAGTTCACAATCTATGTGCCCCAAAAAAGATATATGCTAAATGAATGCCGCGTAGTAAATATTGTGAATAATGCTAGTAAGTTCTGTGTAAGTTCTTAATGTCGATTCTATAAAGTTTTTTCTTAATTTCGTTTTTTCTAAGTAAGTTCTTAATGGTCGTTTTCGGAACTTGAATATTATTAAATCGCACGGCCACAGAAGAATCCCAGTTCTCTCCAAACATCGCGATGAAGAAATAACCCTTTTACTGAAGCCACAAGAGGCGCCGAGGTAATCGGATAATGCGTAGCTGGCAAGGCGAGCTTTAATTCACTTCATCGCCCTACCTGTAGCAGGACCACTGGTGGCAGCACGGCAATCCATTTGAAGCGTTTGGGCGCGTCTCTGATTGCTGCTACGCTAATCCAATGCATCAGCTGTCACACCCTCGTAGATGCAGCAATTACGAAAACGGTCACAGTATTTAAGGGACTGAATGCGTAGCGAAGTGGCCAGAGTATAATGGTTAGCTCAGTGAGTTATGGTTGGCAGAAGAGACTCGAGAGTTATAAGGAAAGGAACAATAACGAATGAACTTAGAATCTGGGTAAACAAGCGAGCACTGAAGCACCTGCTTTTATAACAATAGTTACCTTCGTGAATATACACGAAGACAAATTTTAGGTTTATAAGCACAAAATGAAAATTTTTGAATTGCTGCGATAAAAATTCATTGTTATGCGCCTATAATTATTTCAATTTTTAATGATGCATGATCAAGTAAGGGATGTTAAAGTCAACAGGAAACAGTTCGAATCGTCAATGTACTTTTACCTAATACTACATCGCAGCCAAATGGTTAAAAACATGCGTGAAAATGGAAAAAAAACGATTAATAAAAAACAAAGTCCCGTGAATCTGCTTCGCCACACGATAGCTCTTTGAAATTTCAAAATAAAAAAAAAAAAAACGCCCGTAACGGGAAAACGAGAGAGCTGAATATTTTTCGCTCAAACTAACCGTGTCAAAATACATAAAATAGCAGATTTCACGGACTAAGCCACCCGCTCGCACTCTACGTCAACGGAATCTATTTCTTGAGACATCATGATTAACATCATATAATTTTGTATTGAATATATAATTAGCAAGAATGTTGCACGAGGGCAATTTTAGAACTTCTATGAACTGGAGCAAGAGCATAGTCGTAACATTTCATTATTCAAATTTAATATGAAACTCTAATCAACGTCACGTCCAACATAGTGGACTATAGACACACACCGTAATGCAGATAGTCAAGATATAGTTAGAGGTATTAAAGACAAGCGTAATTTGTACACAAATGCATTTCCAGCACGGCAGACAGCTGTTCAGTCTTGTCTGACAGTGTCAGTCTTGAATTGGCGTGGGTTGCCGGTACGAAGGAATATAATAATTAGAGGCAAATACCATTTTAATAAAATTCGTTCACCATTTTAATAAAATTCGCAACATGCAAGTTAGCCGTAGAATATACTTCAAAACATCATGATATATTTCTTCTCTGAGAAACTACCATCGAATGAGAATAAATTGTTTCATGTTGATACAGCGAAAACGTACTAGCAATCACCCCCTTGATACATTAAAGCAAAGATGTTGTAAACACAAAATTTTTCCAGTTAATTTTTTTCACATGAATAATATATTATTTACGATCGTTCAAAGTGTCTCTACATATATTTTAGATTCTAAATCACGATTTTAACATTAATGAGCAATTAAACATACATAAAATTTTCGCGAAAAATATCCAAATTAATTTGGAGCTTTATGGACGATTATAATAGAGAAACAAATATACTTACTTAATCATGGCATAAATTAGTAATGAGTCAGTATCGAGTAGAATCGTTCTCTATCAACCTTATATTGCGCTACATTAAGACGCACAGCCTATAAAACCGAGTACATCCATAGTAATGTACTGTCGTTTGATCCGTTACAAGCCTGCAATTTGATTACAAACAAAATCTATTAGATAATTCTGTAGAGGACATTAAAGTTATCGCGCGAG